AACACGTTTTAACATGTCTTCATTTTTAGAAAAGCTAGAATTTAGCTTTGTTCATTTTGCTCCGAATTGTCATTTAGCTTTTGTGTGTGTGTGTTTCAAACTTGAATAAGAGCCTCTACATTTTAATTGTGTCATTTGAAATATGAGTATAATATAATTCATTTTTAATGATTCAACTTGTTAATTTTTTTCAGGTAATATGGGTCAAGATTACAGTTACACACAGCCCTCCTCATCAGATGAGTATGATTTCGCCTATGGCTGTCTTCTCCAAGGCGAAGGTGATGCTTTCTCCGGTGAAGCAGAGACTAATGCGGTGCGTGATCAGTATCCACCTCAACCTGAGTGTGATGACGGAGTCCCAAAGACATGCTACTGTGGGGCTGAGCCGGTTGTTGCAACGGCTTACACGTCAAAGGATCCAGGGAGGAGGTATTTCACGTGTGTCAATACCGAAGATGGAGACTGCCATATCTGGAAATGGCTTGATGTGGCCGTATTGGAGGAGTTGAGTGACATTCAGAGGCAAGTTCGTATGGTGAAGGAGCAAGCCTTTGAGACTGACCAGAAGCTGATGAAGATTGTGAAGACATTGTCCGAGTCTGCTAAGAGGAAACCATGTCTAACAAAGGGATTTGTCTTGTGTGTTTCTGCTCTGGGAACTCTACTAGGTTTCGTTGCTGCTAGCTGGTTAGTTTATTTCATTCAGCTTGTTTTCTTTCCTTATTAAAATTGTTCAGTTTATTTCTGCTAATTTCCCTTCTTCTACGTGCAGGTTTGGCTTCCACGGACTAAAAGCGAGTCTCTGACCACGAAATTCTTGTGTAAAAGGTACTACTTTCAAACTAACTACTTATTAATAAAACTGCTAAAAGATAGAATCAATTATAACTTATTAATAAAACTACTTTAAAAACTGCTAAAACATAGTATTAAAAACTTAATAAAACTTAGTCTTAACTACAAACATAGTCTTGACTACAAATATAACCTGTAAATACAACCTGTAAAACATAGTATTATTTAAAACTTAATAAAACTACAAATATATAGTTACTAACTAGAAATATATAGTTACTCTAACTACATATATATAGTTAGTCTAACGAATATCTTATTCAATGCCACCTTCTCGGATGTGATAGGTTTTAAATGTTAACATGTTGCGTAGAGTGTACCTAAAGACACTTTGGTTCAAGTAGAGTGTCCTATAGCTTGGTTAAATGCCACTTACTACCATTCCACCTTCCTAACCCCTTCGATTGGATTGGTTTTAAATGCCATTTACTCTGAATGGTTATATTTTGTTTATTTAAGTCCTTTCCAGTACGAGAGCTTAAACACAAATCCTCCTCTAAAATGAATATGAATTCTAGTTATGTAAACCTTCTCAATAGCCAACATAGCATTGATCTTGACACAGACGAACCAACTTGGTTCAGTGGCCAAGCTTCTACTGACTCTGGTGGTCAGAGGAGGAAGTGGACTCCCAAGGAGGATAAAATCCTCATCGGGGCATGGCTAAACACGAGTAAAGATCCCATCTTTGCCAATGACCAGAAGGCTCCTGCGTTCTGGAAGCGGATAGTTGATTACTTCAACGCAAGTCCTTTAGTCGCTGGGACAGTACCTAGGGAGCATGTGCAGTGCAAGCAGAGGTGGTCCCGGATCAATGACCACGTCTCCAAATTTGTTGGGTGCTATGATGCCACACTGCGTGACCCGAAGAGCGGACGTAATGATGATGATGTGATGAGTGCTGCACTGGATATGTTCTTCAGTGATAATGGGGTTAGATTTCACCTCGAGCATGCGTGGAGGGAGCTGAGGAATGATGCCAAATGGTGCTCCCTAAATGCGAGTAAAGACAGTGCGAAAGACAAGCGCAAACCGTCTTATGCGGTTGATGTCGAGGAGGCCTCTGTAGACCACCTGGTGTAAAGGCTGCTAAGGCGGCGTTGAAGCGGAAGAAGGGTGGGAAAGATGAGGAGATGGATAAGTTACAGGCCTTGTTGGAGATGAAAGAGAAAGTGTCTAAACATAAACTACTTGAGAGCTTAATTGCTAAAAAGGACCCGCTTTCTGAGATTGAGGAAGCTCTCAAGCTCAAACTGATGACTGAGATGTTATGATGATGATGTGTTTGAACCTTTTAACTTTGTAGTTTGTATTAAGATGTGTGAGTCACGGCGCATTTCTATTTATGATATCTCTTGTCTATATGTTGATTTTAATATCTCTCTATTTTTCTTGGCAGGTTGCAGTGGAGAAGTCACGGGGGGTTGTCTTGTAGTGGAGAAGTCACGGGTCGATGTTGCAGTGTAGAAGTCACGGATGGATGTTGCAGTGGAGAAGTCACGGGTTTTTTGCTCTCACTGCACTTCTATATATGTATTGTTGTAGCCTTAAGTCTCCTTTCAGTTGTAGTGTACTAGTTCTCTTTGTAATCTCTATCAAACCTTCTTTGTAACCTACTTATTATCTTCTAATCTCTATCAAACTTTGCTTCTACTTTCTTGCATCTGCACTGCTATCCTTGTCGAGACAGGTACAAGTCCAAGTTCTCTGTAATAGGTTGTCAAATAAGTTCTATTTAGGTTGTGTACATTGCAAATACTTGTTTTTTTATATTCTTCAAGTCATGCTATCTCTGCATCTTCTCTCGAAACACTTGCTTGTAGAATCATATATAGTAGATTGTTTATATTTATCTGAAATGAACAACGATCAAGTATATAGAAACATATAGTCATGCTTTCTCTGCATCTTATTATAGAATCATATATTTTGTATAAAGACTACCTTATAGAATCGTATATTTTGTTTACTGAAATATATAAACATCATTACTATATAAATCACAAATGAGTATCTGCCAAAATAAATAAACATCATTACTATATAACAAATATATATTTTGTAGAATCATTAACTTTAAAATTGCAAATGAGTACTTTGTGTATAAGAATTTATAAATTTTGTCACTTCATTCGACTTTTTTTTTGTAGGACAATGTCAGTTTCATCTGATGAAATTGATCAGAGATTGGACAATGTTTTTGACGATATAATCGATGAAACATTCGACCGCATCGTTGAGGCCCAATCCAAAAAGTCAACAAGACGTGGTTATATAGAACGGAACCGCGAAGATGGACACGACCTGTTATGGAATGACTATTTTAGTGAAGATCCGACATTCCCGGCACACATGTTCAGACGCCGTTTCCGTATGAACAAGGATTTATTCTTGCGTATTGTCCAACGCCTCTCAGAGAACTTTATATTCTTTCAACAAAGACAAGATGCAACTGGGAGGTTTGGTCTGTCTCCACTACAAAAATGTACGGCTGCAATTCGGCTTCTTGCTTACGGCTCTGCGGCTGACGCAGTTGACGAATATCTCCGACTTGGTGAAAGCACAGCTCTTTCGTGTCTACATCATTTCACAGAAGCAGTAATACAGTTATTTGGAGATGAGTATCTAAGAAGACCCACCGGTGAGGATCTCCAACGACTACTTGATATTGGAGAGATACGCGGGTTCCCGGGAATGATAGGAAGCATTGACTGTATGCATTGGGAGTGGAAAAATTGCCCAACCGCTTGGAAAGGACAGTACACCTGTGGTTCAGCAAAACCGACAATTGTCTTGGAGGCTGTTGCTTCACAAGATCTTTGGATATGGCACGCTTTTTTTGGTCCTCCAGGTACGTTAAACGATATTAATGTCCTCGATCGGTCTCCCGTCTTTGATGATATTATACACGGTCGAGCTCCCCGGGTAGAGTTCGTCGTCAACGGACACATGTATAATTTGCCGTANGTGGTTCAGCAAAACCGACAATTGTCTTGGAGGCTGTTGCTTCACAAGATCTTTGGATATGGCACGCTTTTTTTGGTCCTCCAGGTACGTTAAACGATATTAATGTCCTCGATCGGTCTCCCGTCTTTGATGATATTATACACGGTCGAGCTCCCCGGGTAGAGTTCGTCGTCAACGGACACATGTATAATTTGCCGTACTACCTCACTGACGGTATATATCCAAAATGGTCCACATTTATCCAATTGATCTCACTCCCTCAAGATCCTAAATCACAGTTATTTGCTCAAGTTCAAGAATCAACCCGAAAAGATGTGGAACGGGCTTTTGGAGTATTGCAAGCTAGGTTCGCGATCGTGAAAAACCCGGCTCTTTCATGGGATAGGGAAAAGATTGGGCACATTATGAGAGCAAGTATCATACTGCACAATATGATTGTCGAAAATGAACGAGATCGTCACACACAGTACGATACATCTGAATTCGAAGAAGGGGAGTCATCAAGGAGTTCACGGGTGGATATGTCGTATGGTACCGACATTCCATCAAATCTCGGTAATGTGCTTGCCATCCGGAAAGATCTTCGCGATCGGCGAATTCATGAGCAATTGAAATACGATTTGATCGAAAATATTTGGATGAAATTTCGTGATCAAGCTTAATAAATATTGTATCTTTCTAGTTAATCATGCAATTAATAAAAATTGTAAAATTTCTCATGTTTAAAAAAAAAAAAAAATTTTTTTTTAAGGATCCCAAAATGGAGTCCACCATTGGACTCAACTTTTAGACAAGAGTTCTTCATTATTCAAAAAATTAAAAAAAAAAAAAAAGGCAACAATAATACCTAAGGACCCCAATTTGGGATCCACCATTGTGGATGCCCTTAGTTTTCCTTACAAACCAAAAAGCAGAAAAACCGATGGTCCCTTTCCAGCCATTTATGAAGACACATGTGACCAAAGGCACAAAGGTAAATGACTCGTGATCTGCTCCGCTCATCCAAATATCTGTGTCCCGCCGCTTAAAAACACGTTAATTAGGTGATTTGCAAACTTGTGTGGTTTGCATATTTGCTTCGTGGGCTATATATTAGGCCCATTAAATGCACTTAAGTTCTGTAGTCAAAATACTCAAAACAGATCTGCAAGTCACAGAGAGAGAGATCGAGGAAGATGAGGAGCTTTGCATTCGCCATGAAAGCTGCTGGACTTTTGGTTCTGATCGCCGTTTTAACATCTGGTAAGTGTAGCGTCTTCTCTCTATTATTCTCGATTGCTTCCACTGTGACTGATCATGCCATCGCTCTTGTTGTCTCTGCAATCGATCTGATATTGTTTTCATCAGAAATTTACAAAATGTGTTTGATTGATATAACTGTACAATCGATCTGATGTTTCTTCTTGTTGATCGTGATGATGATGATGTCTTCAGTTTATGCGAAGAAGTCATCTGATGTGACAGAGTTGCAGATTGGTGTTAAGGTATGGTCTCTCACACAGCTTCCTCACTCTTTTGGTTATGTAATGAAGTTTGCTTACAGTTTATCATTTGTACAGTTCAATCCCCAGACATGTGATATTCAGGCTCATAAAGGGGACAAGATCAAGGTCCACTATAGAGTAAGTGTCTTGTTGAAGCTTCTACTAGTTGGTATAACTTATGCTTGGAAGGTTCCTTCCTTCTTGCTATTATGACTGGGGGATTATTAGCCCATGGAGAAGCTATCTTCTTCTAGAAACATCGCTGATGTGTTATAAATTTGTCAGTCATAAGAGGCATGATGATTTGCTGATAATGTGGAATCATCTCATTAATTATATAGTAAATTAAGATAATGAATCTGATTCTAAAAGAAGTGATTGGCGATTAACAATGTTATTTCCTTTATGCAGGGAAAGTTAACAGATGGGACTGTGTTTGATTCAAGTTTTGAGAGAGGTGATCCTATTGAGTTTGAGCTTGGGAGTGGTCAAGTCATTCCAGGTGTGTCTTGCAATCACATCGCAGTTGTTTTCCATTATTGTTACTTTTTTTTTACTTGATGGATAGAAACTGAAATGCGATGCAATACATCTAAATGCAGGATGGGACCAGGGTCTACTTGGAGCTTGTGTAGGTGAGAAGAGAAAGCTCAAAATCCCATCCAAGCTTGGTTATGGTGATAATGGCTCACCACCAAAAATCCCAGGTATGTTACTTCATATTCCATCCGCTTATCTAATGATGAGGCTAGAGAGAACATATGATTATTAAATTTTATATCCAAACAAAAATGCTCCACATTTGAAACTATAAAAATATCAATGCATGTGTACACAAGTGCATCATAAACAATATATATATATAGTCAGGTGTTGATTAGTTGCTGCATTGTGAAAATTTTGGACTTTATCAACCTAAGAAAGAGATATTGCTATAGAGATTTCGAGTTTACACTACATTAAATGAGAGCTAGTATATGGTTTATAGTAGCTTGTTGAGGTTTTTGAATCTGCATAAAGAGAATTTATGGTGAATTGCAGGTGGGGCGACACTGATATTCGACACCGAGCTAGTTGCTGTGAACGGGAAACCATCCAGCGAAGGAAAGACAAAGAATGAGCTTTGAATGCATCCATCTTCTTCTTAGTTTTCTTATGAAACATGTTATGTCGTCAGCATTTGAATCTCAAACATGCTAGAGACTAGAGTCGTTTACTTTTTGCTAGTTAAGGACAAATAATTTATGTTATGGTTGCAGTTTAAAAACAAGGGTGAATTGGCTGAAAATACATAAAGAACTTGGATATTAGCAATATGCCATGGTTTTGGGGGAAAAATAGTGAGAGGGGGGGAGGAGAGATAAGAGAGAAAAAGGGTAGATAGTTAATTTAGGGGTTTAGTTTGTATATGAGATGCAAATACTCTAAAAACAACAAGGTGGAATCGCAAACACGGAAAACTTGTCTATAATCAATTTACATGGCTTGTTTAAAAAAAAAAAAAAAAATCAATTTACATGTCTAGTCGAAGATGTGTAGACAATATACACGTATAATCATAACAAAAGAAAAGATAGTTTTTCATAACAAAAAAGGAACCTAGATATAAAAGGTATGAGTATGACTGGAAGAAGCTGTCGGATTTAGTTAATTTCTGGAAGAAGCTGTAGAATTTAGTTAATTTTTTGTTGTTGAGTTAATGCTTTAGAATTTTTTGGATATAGCTAATAGATTTTCTGTTTTCCTTACATGTGTTATTGACCCTTTTTTGTTTTTGCTATGGCTAATGTTGTAGGATATTGGTTGTAAGTTTTAAAACTTTAGTGATTTACTCTTAAATTTTTAATTAGCGATTTAGATATTTTGTTTTCTATATAAAAAATGAAATGCAAATTTATAGCTATAAAATAGAACTTTAAATTCACTTCCATTCTAATAACCAATCACAATGTCACATATGTTAAATAAATAAAAAATAATAAATATTTTTTAAAAAACTAAAATAGTTAAAAAATAAACAATAATGTTAATATTGATGACGCTAACTCCGCTAACTAAATTCTAAATCCAAACTGTAATCCTAATTTTTAGATATTAAATTTTAATCCTATACCCTAAACCAAATCCTATACCTTAAATGTAAATCCTAGACATTAAATTTAAACTGTAAATCCCAAACCCCAATCCTATACCCTAAATGTTTGGATTAATGTCGATATTGTTACTTTATAGTTTAGGTTATGATTTAAGATTTGAATTTAGAATTTATAATTTGGGTTTATGGTTTAGGATCTAGAGTTTGGGTTTAGTATCTAAGGTTTGAATTCATAGTCTAATGTTTGAGTTTAGGATTTAGGATCTAGAATTAAGGGTTTAGAGTTCATGGTCTAAGATTTAGGTTTAGGATATAGAATTTGGGTTTAAAGTCTAAGGTTTAGGTTTTAGGATATAAGGTTTCTATTAAGGTTGTGGGGTTCGGGTTTAAAAGTTCATCCTAAAACTTGAACCTAAGTTTTGTTTATAAAAATATGCATAGAATATGATTAAAACAGTTTGGAGTTGTGTTTTTTTCTTTGAAGTTGTGAGCATGTCTCAAAAAAATTATTCTATCATCTTTTTAAAAATTTTAAATCCTTCTATTAAAATTTAAAATAGAAGGATTAAAAGATGATGTTTTCGACAGAAGTAATTTTTAAAGTCCTCATATGAGATATATTTCCTCGTATATTTCATCATTTTTGTTATTGTTTCTTTTTTTTAATGAGAAACACTTCTATTAGAACTGTTTTTAGTTTATTTTGGCAGATTCGTCTTCTTACTCAAGAGGGTTAGTTTTGATCGGTTTTCATCATCCATATGACTGGATCCTAGTAATTCTAAAGGCTCTATCATTGGAGGTTCACTCCTCTCCGCACCAATACTATTAAAATAGAAACACTTTTTATCTACTTGCAAATAATCTACCTCAAAACATTACATTTATTTAATTTTATGTTATGTTACATACAACAAACGTAGATATTATTAAATAAACACATAATATAATATAATATTTAAATATATTCAAAATAAGATAATCAAAAAGATACTCTTAACTACTTTTTTCAGACTACATTTTAACAATATCTTTAATATATTTTTATTTTAAAAATAAATATTTATTGTTATAATATAATATTAATAAGAAAAAACGTAAAATACTTAAAAAAGAAATAATTTTATATTTCATATTTGTAACTAAAATTACAGAAAATTATAATTATAATATAAATTAATCTACTTTAAATACAGAATAACTAAAAATTACACAAAAATATAATTATAATATAGAATAAGAAACAAATATTTCATATTTGTAAATAAAAATTACACAAAATTATAATTATAATATAAATTAATCTACTTTTAACTTATAAACTAAATGAATTACATTTAAAGAATAACAAAATACTACCATAAGATACTTAAAAATAAATAATTTTTATATTTTAATATACATAAATAAATTAAAACATTCGGATATAAAAATATAATATTTAATTATATGTAACCGATACACAAAATAATAATAAACAAATTCTTCAAACCTCCGCCAATACATAAAAATATAATTATTATAGATAAAATATTAAAATCCTAAATATATATATATTTTATAAAATAAATATTAATAATATCTACTATTCATATTCAATTATATAATGAAACATGTTATTATTGATGTTCTTATGATTATAATTTTACGGGTTGTTCCAATAAACAGAAAAATATTTAACAAATATAATATTTTTAAAAATATAAAACATAATTAATTTAAGTTATTCTTAGGAGTTCAAGTACTTATTGAAATATGGGTCGGATATTTTGAATCAAAGCTAATTTATATCACATCATCGGTGTCATAATTTGTAAGTAGGTATGTTTGTAAGTATAGATCATAGTCAAATATAACACGTCGGGTTTGGTTCTAATTGGTACACATCCTAAAATCGATAAAGTAACCATATATCGTTCGGATTCGGGATATATTGGTTTAGAAATCTAAAATCTAAAATCAAAACAAAAAAATACTTATTTTTATTGAATTGGATATTAAAGTACTTATTTAGAATTTAGATAATTAATTTTAAATATCATTTAAAATAAATATAGAACTGAATATTTAAACTAGATATTTATGTTTTAAATATTTATATTTATGATTAATTTGGACATTCAGATTGATTCAAATTTTTTCCAGGTTTTTCGTTTTTTTGGTTATTCGTTCGGTCTGGCTAATAACACTTTGATTCAGATATATTTGTACCACTCTACAATACTCATTCTGATATATTTTAAATTTTTGACTGTTACGGATCCAAATTTTTTTGTTTAGATTGAGTTATGGATTTTATGCACATATCTACTTTATATCTACTTTATATAAAACAAAAATGTGGTCATATACAATTTTCACTGAAAGATTGTCCTTCATTTTTAAAAACTATATTTGATGAAATTAATAAACTAAACAAACCTATCTCACATTCTATATATATATATAGGAATTACGATTATATAAAATTTGCATCAAACATAAATCTGCGTATTGAAAGCGCGGATCAAAATTTAATTAGTAATTAATCTTTAAGTCGTACAATCGTGGAATTAAAAATACAAGCACATACAATACATATTTTTAAAATTAGCATGATTTGACCATTTACAGACCAAAGCCGAACCCTAGGCAAAATAAAAGATGCTTTCTAAAAAAATGTTTATTCCATTATTCTTTTTGTTCCGGAAAACCATGTATTTCCATACTAAAACACATTAAATCTATATTTAAATGGATAATTAAAACTTTTGAATAAACTAAATTAATAAACTCGAATAAATTCGTGTAGAAGCACTATCTTTCCACGTCAAAATTCAGGTTTTGATTACCCTTTTGCTAAACAAAACCTTATTGGGCCCGATTAAGAATTTGTACTATTCTACACTTTTGCCAATCTAACAAAAGTTTACCGAGAATAGTTAAAGCCCAGTATATATATAGCTGACGTAATCAAGACACGTAATCAAAATACGCATACTTTCTTAACGGCGTCACGAGTGAAACAACATTCGTATGTACATATTTCGGGAACAGTCTTTTAACACCGTCATCTTGCTCTATCTCGTATAACAAAGGAAAGGAAGTCTCTAGAACCCTTTTTTCACCCCAAATATATAAACAAACACACATTACCACCAACTCTCAACTCTCTCCTCACAAAACTCTTTCTCTTTGCGATTCGTTTTTCACTTCAACGCAAACTTTCGAATCAATCGAGATGGATGAAGGTTTCGAGATGCCTCCCGTCGGCGGAATGAACGACGACGACATGGACTTCGCCGACGACGCCTCCTTCCTCAAAGTCGGCGAGGAGAAGGAGATCCAGCAAGGTTTGAAGAAGAAACTCGTCAAGGAAGGTGAAGGATTCGAGACTCCTGAGAACGGCGATGAAGTTGAAGGTAAAACATTATCAATCGATTTAATCTCCAATTTGTATTCATCCGATTTGGATTAACTGAAAAACTCGATCTCTTGTACAGTGCATTACACTGGTACTTTGCTCGATGGAACTAAGTTCGATTCAAGCCGTGACAGAGGAACGCCTTTCAAATTCACTCTCGGTCAAGGTCAGTAACTGAATCCAATCTCTCTTTGATTATGATTGTTTAGTTATATGCTTTTGGTAGAGATCTGTGTGAATGTGTTTAAATTATAGTTATTTGAGATTGTTTGTTTATTTTTTTGTGTTTATTTTGGGAATGTGTTTTGCAGGTCAGGTTATTAAGGGATGGGATATTGGTATTAAGACTATGAAGAAAGGAGAGAACGCTGTATTCACCATCCCTTCGGAGCTGGCTTATGGTGAATCTGGTTCACCGCCAACTATTCCTGCTAATGCCACGCTTCAGTTTGATGTGGAGTTGCTTTCTTGGTCTAGTGTGAAGGATATATGCAAAGATGGTGGTGTGTTTAAGAAGATTGTTGTTGCGGGGGAGAAGTGGGAAACCCCTAAGGATCTCGATGAAGTTCTTGGTGGGTGTGGACTTTCTTTGTGATTTGCTTTGTGGTTTTTTTTTTGTTGTTTTAATCTCTCTAACGGTGTGTATTTGTTTGTTCAGTTAAGTATGTGGCTAAGCTTGAGGATGGTACGGTTGTTGGGAAATCTGATGGTGTTGAGTTCACAGTTAAAGATGGTTAGTGCTCTCTTTTCTTCTGGCGATTGATGAGGATGTAAGATGGTATGTTCTGTCTCTGACAATATTTGTGATCTATGTCGGTAATAGGTTACTTCTGTCCTGCACTTGCTAAGGCTGTGAAAACTATGAAGAAGGCAGAGAAGGTTCTTCTGACAGTTAAACCACAATGTAAGATAGTTTTGTTTCTATTGTGTGCTTTATTGATCTTGGTATGGTGTTGCGTGTAATCTCTTATTCTATTTTGCTTATTGATGTGACAGATGGTTTTGGGGAGAAGGGCAAGCCAGCCTCTGGTGGTGAAGGTGCGGTTCCTCCAAATGCGACGCTTGAGATCGAGCTGGAGTTGGTTTCGTGGAAGACAGTTTCTGAAGTGACTGACGATAACAAGGTCATCAAGAAGATCTTGAAAGAAGGGGAAGGATATGAGCGTCCCAACGAGGGGGCTGTTGTGAAAGGTTTGCCATTTCGTTTTTGAGGGCATTCATGTCATCTCCAGAAAAAGTGTCTTGACATGTCATTTATTTGTTCCTTTCTTGCAGTGAAATTGATAGGGAAACTTCATGACGGTACTGTATTCCTAAAGAAAGGTCACGGTGAAAGTGAAGAACCCTTTGAGTTCAAAACAGATGAAGGTACCTACACTTTTGCATAAATTCTGGAAATTTTCCATTGGATTTTCCGGGTGGTTATTGATTTTGGTGTACGCTTTCAACAGAGCAAGTGATCGATGGGCTTGATAAAGCTGTGTTGAAGATGAAAAAGGGTGAAGTAGCATTGGTGACGATAGACCCAGAGTATGCTTTTGGTTCAACCGAGTCAAAGCAGGAATTAGCTGTGGTGCCACCAAACTCAACCGTCTATTATGAGGTTGACCTTGTGTCTTTCGACAAGGTTAGTGCAGTTTTGGACGTTTACCCTTTTACCTATTCAGTAAATAAAGAAAAGATAGGTGTATGAGTATCCAACTCTTGTTTGTCACTGATCTTATAGGAGAGGGAATCGTGGGACATGAACACCGAGGAGAAGATTGAAGCTGCTGGTAAGAAGAAGGAAGAAGGAAATGCCAAGTTCAAAGCAGGCAAATACGCACTCGCTTCCAAGAGATACGAGAAGGTAACAATTATGAAGCATTGGTTGATATGTGAGTTTTGTATACGTTGAAACATCATTATCTCACATGGTTTCGTATCTTCTCAGGCTGTCAAATTCATTGAATACGACTCATCCTTCAGCGAGGAGGAGAAGAAGCAAGCGAAAGCATTGAAAGTGGCGTGCAATCTAAATGATGCAGCTTGCAAACTGAAGTTGAAAGAATACAGACAGGCTGAAAAGCTATGCACAAAGGTAACCGAACTGGGGGTTAAGACTTACATATCCTTTGTTTCTTCACTTCAGAGCCAAGAATGATTGTAAATATTTTGTTTTGGATATATGTTTAGGTGCTAGAGCTGGAAAGCACCAATGTGAAGGCTCTTTACAGGAGAGCGCAAGCTTACATGGAGTTGGCTGATTTGGACTTGGCTGAGTTTGACGTCAAGAAGGCCCTGGAAATTGATCCCGACAACAGGTAATGTCATCTTCATACACTGAGGAACATTATAGATTGTAAAGTTCTAAATGTCATTTTGGCTTTTTTTTATCCAAATGATAGGGAAGTGAAGGTGGAGCAGAGAAAGTTGAAGGAAAGAATGAAGGAATTCAACAAAAAGGAGGCCAAGTTCTACGGAAACATGTTTGCGAAACTATCTGTAAGTATCTCTCTAATCTTTTCGGTAACAATTGATTTTGATTTTACGCATTATTGGATTATAGTGAATAACTAAACTTTTTATTCTTTTGGGGGAGAATGTGCAGAAGTGAAGCAGTAGCAGCTAGCTTCATGGAGAATGGTTTACTGGCTTTGGATGCATTTCTCTTTTCTCTATGTTTGCCAAATCTCGATCAAGTTGTGTTTTTAGATAAGACTCCTCATGGAATTGTTGTTCGTCATTAAAATGATTAGCTTTTTAACATTTTTTACAATCGAGATACTTCTCTTCCCTTGCGTCAATCGATTAGAATCATTAAGCTTGTCTTATGAGGGTAATTCCTAATTGTTGTTCACAACTTTCGTTTTCGTTGAGCTGATCAGTGCTGAACTCATCAACATCCTATTAGGTGGCATTTCAGTTATTTTATTGGTTAATTTGATTCTAGAATATTTCAACTGAACTAGACTACAATTAGTGTCATTAACTTGATTAGCTAGTTAAAATATAAATTATGTGAACTAAATTTAAGGGCTTATTTGGAAAGTAACCATACAAAAACATAAATTAAATTTGTGAAAAGAAGTTGGAGAAAGATAGAAAGGGAAAATAGGAGAGAGAGAGCTAGAATTTGATTAGTTGATTTATTTGTGTTTTTTTCTATGGTTAGTTGGCCTAATTTCTCTAAATTTAATATATAATAATTAAAAAACCTCTAAAAAACTGTAGTGAGAATTATTTGTTTTTAATAAATTTGATTTAGGTTTAAGTAAGTAAAACAATATTCTTTTCTTTTCAGTTTAGAGAAAAATACAGTTTTAAAATTAGTGTCACTTTATAATTTTAATATAATTTTTATTAATTATAATATGATAAAATATATAGATATTTGTGTTTTATCTTGAAAATATACAAATTAAACTTATTATTAATCTATATGTACAAAATCTAAAACGACAACTAAAACTAAAATGGAGGGAATGTTGAATAAAATGAAAAATGCGTGAGTGTTTTGGAATGACAATATCTTATATGTTTAATTTCAATAATTACAAAATTTTATTGGTTTTTAGTTTGATTTAGTTTTATATTGAACCAAATCACTTGGATTGAAAAAATCTTTAACTGGATGATTTGATAATATGCTTAGATTTGGTTTGGTTTGGTTTAATTTGAGTTCAAATGGTTTGGTTTGACTTGGTTTGGTTTTTGTCATCTCTAGTTATTTTTTTTGTCATATGTTGGATTAATATTCAACCTTAAATAAAGATTACAACCAAAGCCGGCAAGACAAAAACAACTTCCGAAGCAGAAACCATCGTAGTAAATAATACTACCAGGAGCCAAAGATGAAAACATAGGAAGAAAATAACAACCCATAAACTAAAAAACACAGACACTAAAACAGAAGACAAGAAACATCTAGACCAGCCTCAAACCCATTCATAGAAGAAACAAACCAAATTGTTAGGTAATAGATAACTGTCGCTGTAGACTGCACCTCCTCCTCTTATGCGTATGTACTCCGTTGATTTCTCGCCTCCAAGAGAACGTAGAGACCACGTTAGGGAATCTCCTCGTGTACTGTCACATGGAGTGAGAGTCCAAAATCAGGACGCACCCAAAGATCCTTTATCAAACCCCAGCGGTCTCTCACGCTCACTCTCTTCTCATACCCCTTCACCACGTAATCTCATGGAATGACTCAATTTTCCTAAGGGAGGGGGAAGTGGAGCATCTATCTCAGGAAGAAACTTTCATATCTCCTCAAGTGAAAGACGCTCTGCTTTGTCCCGGGTGGGAATCGGAAACCCAACTAATACCCCTCACGCCAGATATATTCCGAGCTTTGACTCTAATAGGCTTCAAGATGTAGCAATTCATTATGATGGGCCGGCGGAGCAAGAACATATCAGTCCTTTCCAAGAAAATCTACCAACCGCAGGCAACAATGCTCGAGTCCCAGAAACTTCACGTTTGGGTAGCAGTGGAGGACCTATCATCATTAATTTTGAGAGAGATATGGATCCCCCTCAAGGTCCAAATCCGACAACAAAGACAATAAATAGAAGAAGGGTGTCTAAGCCATCGACCAACAAGAGAATTGCCAGGAATCCGCTTCATGGTGTTAATCTAAAAAGAACATTATCTCAAGATCTATCAACCCCCCCAAACAAGAAACTGTGTGTTGATCGGGACCTATCTTTACCTTGTGATAAGGAAGAATCGAGTAACAATATTCGTACATCAGGAAGGACCAGGAGGACGGATTTTCGGCCTCCTCATCCTTAGCTGTGTTCAGTTGGAATTGTCAAGGATTGGGTAGTGTCCTGACAATTCATTGATTACGGGAGCTACATCGTGAGATTATCCCGGATATCACTTTTCTTATGGAGACAGAAAATGATGATGACTTCATTAAGAGGAAGACTCGTGACTTTCACTTCCCCAACTTCTTTTCTATTCCACCGATCGGACTTAGCGGTGGCTTAACTCTGATGTGGAAAGAAGGAGTGGATCTTACTATCCTTGAGGCTCACCCCAACTTGATTGATACCAAGGTGTCTTTCAAAGGGGTTACATCGTTTATTACCTTCGTTTATTGGGCTCCATCAGCAGAAAACAAAGCAGCTTTCTGGACTAAAATTGACGCTGTTGGTACCAATAGAGATTTACCGTGGATACTAACGAGAGATTTCAATGATATACTTGATAACTCTGAGAAGGTTGGTGCCCGATGGGAAAGATCGTTCACAGCCTTCAGATCTTTCGTCTCTCAACACGGATTGTGGAATCTCAGGCACTCCGGGAATCACCTTTCATGGAGAGGAAGACGCTATACGCACTTCATCCAATCCAAGCTGGATAGGTCTATCACTAATTGCGCATGGAGTGAGCTATTTCCTATGGGTAGATGCAGATATCTACGTTTTGAGGGTTCCGATCACATACCTGTGGTTACATTATTTAAGGACTCGGTATCAAAGAAGAGAGGTGTATTTTGATTTAACCGAGCTCTGACGGAAAACCCTGATGTTGAGGCAGTAGTAGAATCTTTTTGGAATCACGATCCTGTGGTGTCGGTGATCTCTAAATTTAACCTATGCCAACGTAATATCATCCAGTGGGCAAAGGAACATAATCTTCAGCACAACCAGATTATCACACATGCTCAGGAAGATCTCGAAAAGGCTCTCTCTGCTACGGTTTCTGACTCGCCTTTGATTGAATCTATGACTGAAACTCTACGTACAGCTTATAGGGAGGAGGAACTATTTTGGGCTCAATGTAGCAGAATCCTTTGGCTAAAAATTGGGGATCGTAACACATGCTTCTTCCACGCGATAACTCGACAGAGAAGGATGATCAACTCTTTCTTTGTTATAGAGAATAAAGAAGGCCACAAGGTCTTTGAAGAGTATCAGATAGCTACTGTTATCTCAGAGTACTTCCAGAAAATGTTCAGCACCGAGGGTAACAAGAATTTCTCAGATATTGAAAACATTCTTGTCCCACGACTTACTCAGGAAATGAATCTGTCTCTCACCACTATACCGAGTGATTCAAAAATTATGGAAGCTGTTTTTTTCTATTAATGGCGGGAAAGCTCTGGGGCCGGATGGGTTCTCCGCTAAATTCTACCAAGCTTATTGGCATATCGTTCATGCCGACGTTATAAGGGACATCCGACAATTCTTTGTGTCTGGCCATCTTCATCCGCAGCAAAACGGAACGCATATTATACTTATCCCAAAAGGGACAGGATCAAGACGAGTCTCGGATTATAGGCCTATTGCCCTTTGTAACACTCATTACAAAATTATAGCGAATATTTTGTCACATCTCCTTAAACCGTTGCTCCCCGAGCTGATCTCTCCCTCTCAGTCTACTTTCGTTTCTGGACGAGTCATTGGGGATAACATCTTGATTACTCACGAGACTTTGTATTATCTTCGGACTTCTGAAGCAAGAAAGCATTGCTCCATGGCGGTGGAAACTGACATGAGTAAGGCTTACGATCGTTTAGAATGGGGTTTTATCCGAGCTGTGCTTCTGCAACTGGGATTTGATGAAGTGTGGGTGTCTTTGGTGATGAGCTGCAAACAAACGGTGTTATATTCTTTTTTGGTGAACCCGAAAGGTTCTGTCAAACCGTCGCGCGGAATAAGGCAGGGTGACCCTCGCTCGCCTTATATCTTCATACTTTGTACGGAAGTATTATCTACCTTGTGTGATAAGGCTCTGGCTGACGGGTCTCTAGTAGGGGTTCGGGTTTCCCGAAACAGCCCCTCTATTAATCATCTCATTTTTGCCGACGATACTATGTTCTTCTGCAGATCTAACTCGGCCAGCGTCACTGTCCTCCAGGGTATCTTACAGCGCTATGCGTCTCTCTCAGGTCAAAAAATCAATGATGCGAAATCAGCTATCATCTTTTCGGCCAAGACTCCCCCGAAGGTGAAGGATAGAGTTAAGAAATTATTGTCTATTACTTTAGAGGGAGGTATTAGCAAATACTTGGGTCTCCCCGAGCTGTTTGGTCGCAAGAAACATGATATCTTCGCAGCTAATCTGGACCGGATCAGACAAAGGGCACATAGTTGGACAACTAAGTTTTTATCTAGGGCTGGGAAGCAGGTGCTTCTAAAAGCGGTATTAGCGACAATGCCATGCTACGCTATGTCATGTTTCAAGCTTCCAAAGTCTCTTTGCAAACAAATCCAATCACTCCTAACCAGATTTTGGTGGGATGCCAACCCACAACAGAAGAAGATGTGCTGGGTGGCTTGGTCCACCTTAACCAAACCAAAACATGCTGGTGGGTTAGGCTTTCGGGATATTGAAAAGTTTAACGATGCTTTGATGGCGATAATTGGATTGCGACTCATCTCAACCCCAGTCCCTTGTTGCTTGGGTATTCCTTGGCAAATATGGTTATAATTCCACCTTTATGGATTGCCTGATACCGTCTACAGCATCACACGGTTGGAGAAGTATTTTGGCAGGCAGAGAAGTGTTGTGCCAGGGTCTGATATGGACGGTAAGAAATGGTCCGGGTGTGGCAGGATCCTTGTTTGAGTTGTGATTCTCCTTCTATCCCGATTGGGCCTCATACGGAAGCAAATGCCAATCTTATGGTCAGCGATCTCTTGTGTAAGATCTCTAACACTTGGGACATCGATAAAATTAGAATACATCTACCACATTATGAGGAGACCATCAGGAGGATAGTTACTAGTTCTGCTCCGTCTAAGGACGGCCAGGCCTGGGTCTTTGAAAAATCTGGTGTTTATACCACAAGATCGGGGTATGGTGTGGCTATGAGTTTAATGAATGGAGAGGTAGCCGGTCCCCAACTCTTTGACTGGAATAAACATATTTGGAATGTCCAAACAGCCCCAAAAATCAAAGACTTTCTATGGAAAGTGATTAAGAAAGCGATTCCAGTGCTGTTTCACGTGGGATTACATCCTTCCCGTGCAAGACTTGTAATGGAGTGGAGGATGATATCCATGTATTTTCCATGTGTCAAGTTGCTAGGGAGGTGTGGGATCTTGCTCCCATCACTGATTTCTTCCCTGCGGTTCATGATAATATATTCTCCTTTGTTCCCGCCTGTCTCAACATTAAAACACTCCCCCCTGTTGGCCTTTGGATTCCACTTTGGCTATAGATCCTTTGGAATTTATGGAAAGCACGGAACAAACGATGCTTCGAGGACAAGATATACCCCAGCATGGATACTGAGTAAATCTATTACAGATGCCCGAGATTGGCAAAACGCCCAAGTCCTCCCCTCGTCGAACTCCGGTGATCACGTATGGGTGTCTCGACACAAAGGGGCCCTGTTCCAATAGATCCACCCTCTGACATGATCATATGTCACGTTAATGCTGCTTGGGAGGCTAGCTCTGGTAATTGCGGTTTAGGGGGATTATTCTCTGGTCATCCTTCTGCCAAGTGCCTTCCCCGTCTTTGTGAAGCACGCTCTCTCATCTCTTATGTGCTCCTAGCTTAGGCGCTTGCTGTTCGTCTAGCAGTTATGACTGCTTCCTTTGCAAACATTAAACGTCTCCTGATTCTGTCCGATTCTCAAACTCTCATCCAGCTGTTGAAGTGTAAAGAGAATAGGCCAGCATTGTTTGGTGTTTTGTTTGACATCTACTATTTTAGTTCCTACTTTGATGTAATCTCTTTCTCGCACGTACCTCGTTTGTCCAATAGAGAGGCTGAATCTGTTGCTAAGTCAGCTCTCGCCTCATTCCCTGTAACCTTCGTTGGTGGAGGCTAACTCTCTTTTATGATATGGCTCGATGTTTGCTCAAAAAAAAAAAAAAGCTTAAGTCATCTCTAGTTATTATTTTACTGAATTTTAACGATTTTGGGATGAAGTGCATTCTTATCTAAATAGTTTATTTTAACTGACATGATCATTCAAGAAAAATAACAAACCCGAACTACGGATTTAATAGTGTGAATAAGAGCTTGGCCATTTTTACTTCAACCTGAAGTGCTTGCCTTAACTCGAAACGAAAAATCAAAATTTGATTCGGATCGATATAAGAAAATATCCAAACAAAATTTATGAGATGTGTAATTTTAGTTCTTGTTACAATCTAAATCGAATCAAATTCAAATTATAATCTAAAATATTCCAAATTACGTAAATATATCAATTTTGTATATATGTAAAAGGTATTTTATACATTTTATAGTATTTTAAAGATTTTGGGTTTTAAATTATATAGTTGTGTTTTATGTTTATAGATTTGTTAATTATCTTGCTTTATCAAATCTTTATGATTTCTAGATTGCACATGTGAGGAGTTTTTCTTGTAAATAATAATAATAGGTTTTAAATATTTATTAGTAAACAATCTTAGAAAAAAATGAAAGCATCGTGTGAAATAGAAATAAATTATTCTAGAAAACCAAAACAACAAACTAAAATAATATCATACATTCATCTATGTATTATTGATCATCGTCTAACAAGCACCAAGAAAAATAGACCTCTTTTTATGACGAATACATAACATTGTTGAACGTTTTGATTCCTCATAACATGTCGGACCTCTTACAGTATTCAGTAAGACAAGCAAATAAAACACCTTGTCAATTTTTGTGGAGCGTTATTAATTCTCTCAATATTGAATCCTCTCTTTTTATCAGTAAAATTTTGATCTTTTTATTCCAAATAAACTTTGTAGAAATTTCAGCTGGAGTTAGTTTCCCACCAACAGCACCGACCATGTTTAATTCAAACCAGCGGTAGAACATTGTATTTTCAATCAGAACGTGGATGGTATCTTTCAAGAAAGTTAGTTGCATATAGTTTGTCATTTTCTTATGCATATCTAAGTTTGATTAATATCATGGTTAATTAATGCTATATTTATAATGGGTAGGTGGTACATCGGATTTATGTTACGCAAATGTAGGTACGAATATTTTAAAATTTTGATAAAATATGCTACTTTGTGAAATAAGGAATATTATACGAGTATCTATACAATTATAATACTTTTTTAATTCATAAGAGTTAATGATAATGCAATTAAAGTAGGTTAGCAAAAATTCTGTAAGTATGAGGAAAATAATAACTAATTGAGATATTAAATACATTTTATAGACGAAGTAATATACAAATTTCTGGATTTTATTAACAAGTATCGTATATACAATATATATTTAACTAACAGATTTGCTCGATACATTTAGATTGATTATTTGATATCAATATATTAGTAGTTGATTCTTACAATATTAAATTCTCTCTTAATATTAAAAATCTACTCTCGCCAGACATTTTACTATAGATGTTATTAAAAACTTTCAATCATGCCACAAAAAATGTATAGATATTTTCAAAGAGAACAATCATACCTTACATAGAAAACTTAAATTACTTATACAATATGATTTCTATAAAATAATAGATTAAGTGGTAAACACAAAAAGATTGTCCTTATAAAAGCTATATATATTTTTAATTTTTTTATATATTATATTTCTTTCAACAACCATTGTAAGATGTGAAAAATCGAATAGAATATTCTTAAGATGGCAATCTTTAACCATAAAATCAGTATTACAATATTTTACCTAGGTTGCTTGGATTGGAGCAAAATAGCTCTCTGAAATTTCACTGACCATTAGAATACGTAGGTCTTTCCATACCTTTCCAACATTATAGCATCCCTTGAAGCATTGTCTTTCTGAATGTAAACTCCAAACATAAATGTATGTCCAACCATTGTAATTGCCTCGGGAATGGATCATCATCTTCTAGATCTCAAGTATAAGATGTGATATAGTATTTTCCTTTACAATATACAATCTAATTGCAAGAGTTGCTAAAAATACTAATTTCATCCCAAGAACTGTTTAGTAGGGTTATAACAGACTCAGAAATAATTCCTATCGCAATTGAATCCAATAACAGGAATTGAGATTCGCCAGTAGCATCCTTAACCAGTGAATGGATTTTGAATCTGTAGTAAAGACATAAAAATCCAATTAGAACATTCTGACCAAATTAAAGTAGTTAATATGGTTGACATGCGGTTGATTATATTTGGAGATGGTCGTAATGCTTTGGTGAAACAGAGGTTACTTTGGATTTGCATATTTCACACCACCAAATGTGTGTAACAGTCTCCTTCCCATTCAATATTATAATCGTTTTGGAGTGAGAATAAACCTTCTTGTTGTTACAACCTAGACAGCCAAAATAATATCATCCCCAATTTGTATTAGTGTCATAGATTGTTGCAACTACTCTGCATAGTTTTTCTTACAAAGAAAATAATTTTATAATTATAGGTTTAGGGAAAGCGAATTCAGCATATATGAGTATAGACTTGCAGATTCTTTTATCTTAGACGATTCAAATAACCCGAGGAGAATCTTTTGAGGATAATGCATACATTTATCTTGCTTTATCTGCAACTCAAGCTTGTTCTCTTCTGAGTCAGATAAGGTTAAATCATGAGAATCCTCAATATCTCTGTAATTTGAAAAACAATTTTTATGAGAACGTAAAAGATAATAGAGTAAAAATGACGTATTGTTTTAATATAATTATTAAAGACCTTTGTTTAAAATAATCTGCTTATGATATTTCAGGATTGACAAACATCTAACTTGAATCATAAGCATTTGAGATTTGAACTTCACCTAATTAATACTACCGGAAACCTTGCGAGTTAAACAAAATCTTGTGTTTTATGCTAATATTATTATTCCAATATATAAATACGTAAATAAAAACATAAACAGACATTAGATACCTCTATATTGCACAATCTTAGCAAATCGTAGAAGACATATTACCATCCCTTCTATTTCCTGGCTAACTGTGTGAAGATTCTCTGCAAATTTTCCTCACAGACAGCAAGATAATCTTTGCTCACTAAAAATATTAAATATCTACTTAGACATCTATAATTTTATAGATTATATATATAAACTAATGAATACTGAATATACATGACTTACGAAATGTCCACGAGTGTGAACTCCAACTTATTCCTTTGTTTTTCACCATTAGACCCTATGATTTTGAGATCACCCAAGTATTGAACTTCAATAACATCTAAATAAATATTTTGGTGTTATCTAGGTATACATGCTTGGGGTTATGAGCAAAAAACAATTTAAAAACTTACCAATCAGGAAGTTTGGATCAAGATCCATACTTTATATGGTTTTGAAATCAACCAGATTAAGAAACATGTTGTCATCTCGGTGTGTAGAATCTGAGATTTTGGTGGTACCATTAAAAGTTATTCGATACTTATGATCAGTTGATATGTACGCTCCACCAGCACCACTTACATTGAAACGATCAATGTTTCTCCATACTCCAACATGGATATGTTTGGACAATTCATCAATGTATGTCTTGTTATATGAGGCATAGATCTTTGTTCCCTTTAAAAAGAAATAAACTTTTCTCGGTTACCTTGTATCTTTAAAAAAAAATATAGAAATAAAAAAACTATATACAATGTTGAACTTACATTTGCATCACATATGATTAGTTCCATTGATTCTCCGACGTCTTTCATGAAATGTCTCCACGTATGAATGATCTTCACTTTGATGTGACATGCACTCTTGTGTGGTTTGATATAGTTCAAGAAAGTTAGCTGCAGACTGTTCGCCAATTTTTTTTATGTATCTCTAGTTTTGATGAATATCGTGGTTAAGTGATGCAATATTTAGAATTGGTAGGTGGTACAACGGATTTAGGTTACCCAAAAGTAGGTCAGGATATACTTTTACAAGTATATTGTAATTAGATTATACGTTATTAATTTTTAAGAGTTAATGCTAATCCAATTAAATTAGGTTAGCAAAAATTATGTAGTTATAAGAATTAATAACTAATTGTGATATTAAATAAAACTTTTAGATAAAGAAATATAAATATTTTCGGATTTTGTTATTAAATTTTCTTTCTAAAATATATTGGTAACTAAAAGATTTGGCCAATATATTTAAATTGATTTCTTTAGATATTTGATAACGATTTAGGCAATAACATCGACCAGTTTAAAATTCAAATTTTTGTCAAATTTTTAGCTATACCAACGTTATAAGATTGTTGAATCATACCAAGTATGAATTAAAATGGTTTGTTCTGATTTGCTTTGTTTTTCAGATGATGATTTGACGGAGGTAATAACTCAAGTCTGATGGTTTAGCTTCATCAAAACCTTGACGTTATGATATACTGATATCGATGGAGATTGAGGGATAGAATATATAATAGTGCCACTAATATGTTATATTCTTATAATAGAAAGCTTCAAGAAGATGGTAGAGATAGTTTGAATATTATATTTTGAGATGAATAAGGTGGTATAAATAAACTGGTATAGATTCTGAGATGAATAAGGTGGTTTAACTGGGTTAGTGTTATAGTGTTCTATCTCAATAATACTGTCATGGTTTATGTCAGTTTTATAGTGTTATGCATCATTAATATATATACATCATCTCTTTTTAATTTGACATGCAAACAGTTTTAAACACGTATGATTTTATATAGGTACACTTTGTAACATTAATATATAGGTCTGTATATAAAGAAAGGTTTGATTTTACATATATATTGATAGGTCCGTATATTAAAAAGGTATGACTTTATATATATGGAGTAAAACATATGTTACACATATGGACTAAAGGAGAATAAATTATTATTAGAGTATTATATTGTAAGATAAATATTAGACGAAATAATAGGTAGATCAATGTACCATTAGTTAAATGAAAGGGTGTAGTAACTTTATATAAATAAATTTTTTAAAACTGCTTCCCTTTTAATAGTATAGATTTTGACCACTTACTCCATCCGTTTCATCTTAGTTGTCGTTTTAGATTTTTGCACACAAATTAATAAAATATTTAATTTTATATATTTTCACAATAAAAACACAATTACATATACAACTAACCACATTTCAACGAACAAAAAATAGAAAATATATAAAATTAATAAATTATGCATCAAATATATAAAATGACACTTATTTTAAAACAAAATATTTTCTCTACAAAGACATATAAATTGAAACAGCTTATTGTAGGTATCTTAACTATTTTTAATTAGATTTTAGAATAACTTTTATATTTTGAATATTTCGGTCAAATTTTGTTTTATCTTTTTCTTTTTGTTTTTTTGGTGATTTCATATATTGGTTATATTCCGAACTTTGAAAGTTAGTAAAATCCGAATGGAATTTATAGATATAATATAAAAAATCTGAAAATCTGACCAGACCGAAGGTGAACTTGACACCCGAACTCCTACGCCTAAAATGATTTTTTTTGAGAAATGCCTAAAATGAACTTTGCTTTAGGATAAATATTCTTGTAAGAATACTCAAGGAATATACTGGCTGCTCTAAATCTTGTCCGTCCAATACGACTTGGAAATCCTCAGGTACCATCGGATATGCTTCCTAGGCACTGGTCTTGCGTCAGATGAGATAACATAACAAATTATAAAAGGCAAGAAAATAAAAATAAACTTAGAAAAGAAAAAGAAACAACGAATATTCCCAGCTAAATGCTCCACATAACTCTCTCAAACACTCACTTTATATTCGATTCTCTAACCTTTTCACTTATCACTTGTCACTAAACTCTCATCTATGGCGATTTTCTCTAAAACCAGATGTGTCACTGACCCACTAGACGATGAGGCCAAGGCTCGGATCTTCAGCAGCCACGGCTCCCCACTAGACCAAGACTCTCCTGAAATCTGCGAACTCGAGTTTCTCGATGATGGTCTCGAAGACAGATCACAGACATTCTACGAATCTGACTCCGACTTGTCGGATAATTCTGCAATGGAACGTTCCCGTGAAGCTAGTGAGAAACTCTTGAGGATGGCCGTGAGCTTTGCCGACTATGATCCTTATCGTAACACATTGCTGGCTCATGTTTTGAGAGCAGTGGAAGCTTATTCCGGTTTTAGATCCGGTCGGAAACATGTTTTTAGGGAGAAGGTAGCATCATTGCTACGAGAGCTCGGCCACAATGCTGCCGTTTGCGGTTCGAGATGGAACTCATCAGCTAAACTCACCGCCGGGAGTCACGACTTCATTGACGTCGTTTACAAGCCAGCTGGTGATCGGACATCCGTTCGTTACTTTGTTGATGTAGACTTTGCTTCCGAGTTCGAGATCGCGAGGCCGACAAGCCAATACGCGCGTGTGTTGCAGTTGCTGCCTCGTGTCTTTGTAGGAAAAGAAGAGAATCTTAGGACGATTGTGAGAGAGTCTTGCGACGCGGCGAAGAGGTCGTTGAAGAGCTGTGGCTTGTCTCTCCCGCCATGGAGGAGATTCTCTTACTTGCAACACAAGTGGTTTGGTCCGTGCACAAGAAGGGTTGGATCTGGCTTGGAAGTGTCACCGTTGAATAAAGACGCCGTTAGCTGTCGCTCTGTGGGGTTTGATGATGCCGTCAACACCCGTTTGTTCATCAGGACGTGATCCGATCCATGCAGCATGTACTAGTATTAAGTGTAGATGAATAGTTAAGTAGGGACTACATTTTTCCCATCGATTTTAAGGAGACTAAAGTATTAATCAGTATCTTAAAATTAAGGCCCAGATGTCAATGTTAACGTTCTTACCACTGGGTTAAGTGCCATTAATAATCATATGCAATGAGTTGGGATCAATTAATAACGGAGAATATGAGTCTTTACTAAATAACCTGTCACATGAAACTGAACGACATGTAAGAATATTAAAATAGAACTTTTGATTGTAAGGCTGGTGAACTTCTCTCTCGACGTCTTCTTCGTCCCAAATTCGTATCTTTCAGAAGGATGATGTTGATTAAACGTTTTGTTCTGTAATATATTTTGATCAGTTCTGATCGACTTTTCTACCGCATTGTCGGTTCTTTTTGTTTGCTAGGCGATTTTGGTGTGAAGTCCATCTCAATCATAGCTGTATGTCACGCTTTCTTCTTTCTTCGAGATGGAGATTGGTCTAATAAAGTATCTATTGTTCTCAAACAATTATAATGCTCAAAGATTAATAAGAACTTTCTCTTCTTATTGCTTAAGAAACTTGCACAAAACTTAAGTTCTCGAATCTCTCAAATCTCACACCATTGTCCTTAACCTAACATTGGCTTATATATCACCGTAGTTATCCGAATTCTAATAGTAAAATTCCCATATTTAGATAACTTCCTAAAGTATATATGGCTTTATATCTCTAAAGACATTAAATCTATTTGAATTAGGATAACTTCTCTCTTAAACTATCTTCGAACTTACTCCAACAATCTTCCCCTTAAGCTTGCTTCTCTTCCACATCATGCACGCCAATAAGATCACGCATTCCACTAAACTTGATTCTTCCGAGAGCTTTGGTTAGTATGCCCGCCTTCTGCTCATTTCCAGGTATATGCTCAACCTCCATTAGTCCCTTCTCAACGCATTCTCTTATAAAATGATATCTTGTACGGATGTATTTGCTTCGTCCATGAAACACCGGATTTTTAGTAAGAGCTATGGCTGATCTATTGTCAATGCGTATGACTGTCTTTTCAAGTGAATACCCAACAATCTCACACAGCAAATCTTGGAGCCAAATGGCTTGTCTTGCTGCTTTTGTACCTACCATAAACTCAGCTTCACATGACGAGAAAGCCGCCATATCCTGTTTCTGTGAGCACCATGTTATTGGACTATTTCCAAGATAGAAAATGTGTCCTGTTGTGCTTTTTATTGAAATCGAACTTCAAACCAAATATAAAGACTCACTTTATTAATGCTTTAGAAACTTAACACAAAACTAAAACTTCCTCAAAACCCTCTTAAGTTATGCCACAATCTCGGCATCTCCTTATATACTACTTCTAAGTTCCTAAACTCATTAGGAAAACATATCTTAAAGATAAACATCAATCTTTCTAATCCTAATCTCATTAGGAGATATTAAATCTGTAGTTATCTTCTAGCTTAAGTAAACATTCTCCCCCTTAAACTTGAAGTCTCCATTCTTCACTTTTTGAACCCCAATGAGATCTGTCATCTCTTTAAACTTGATTCTTCCAAGTGCCTTAGTTAATATGTCAGCCTTTTGTATTCTCCCAGCTACATAATCCACGTCCACTAACCCATTTTCCACACATTCTCTTATAAAATGGAACCTAGTATGAATATGTTTGCTTCTTCCATGGAATACCGGGTTCTTAGAGAGTGCGATCGCAGATTTGTTGTCTATGCGAATGACAGCCTTCCTTACTATGCCATCCACGATTTCTCCAAGTAGTTCCTGAATCCACAGCGCCTGTTTTGCAGTCTCAGTGGCTGCCATGAACTCAGCCTCACAAGAAGACAACGCAACAATCTCCTGCTTCTGAGAACACCATGTAACTGGACACTCATTGAGATAAAAGATATGTCCGGTTGTGCTCTTCTCATCATCAGGATCTACGTTGTAACTACTATCACTGTAACCGACAAGCCCTTTCTTCCCATTCCTTTTGTAGTGAAGACCAAGTGAACACGTACCACGCAAGTATCTCAAAACGTGTTTTAATGCAGCTCTATGCGAAGTCTTCGGATCATGCATATAGCGACTTAGTACACCTACGGATTGAGCAAGATCAGGCCTTGTATGTATGAGGTAACGAAGGCACCCAATGTGTCTTCTGTAATCTTTCTCATCGACTCCATCTTCTTCTGATGCCTTTGACAACTTTAGACCTGAGTCCATAGGTATACGAGTCGCGTTGCAGTCTCCCATACCTGCTTCTTCCAGAATTCTGGTCGCATACCTTTCTTGTCGCAGTGTTATACCATCAGTAGACTGTGTAACTTCAATTCCAAGGTAATAAGTGAGTTTTCCTAAATCACTCATCTCAAATTTTGTTGCCATCTCTTTCTTGAACTCTTGTATAGCATCAAGACTGGTTCCTGTAATAAGCAGGTCATCCACATAAACCGCAACCAACAATAAATATTCCTTCGTTCTTTTCCTAAAAAACGAAGGCTCCTTTGCACATTTAGTGAACTTCAACTCTCTCAGAATTGAGTTGAGCTTGATACTCCAAGCTCTTGGTGCTTGCCGTAGACCATATAGTGCCTTGTGTAATCTATACACCTTGTTTTCGCTCTCTTTAACCTCGAAACCTTCAGGCTGTGATACATATACCTCTTCTATCAAATCTCCATGAAGAAACGCGGTTTTAACATCTAGATGATGAATCTCCCAATCACTCGAAGCTGCCAACGCTATAATGACTCTTACGGTTTCTATCCTTGCCACAGGAGCGAAGACTTCTTCAAAGTCTATTCCATGACGTTGTACATAGCCTTTTGCCACTAATCGAGTTTTGTACTTGTTTATGGTTCCGTCTGCGTTCTGTTTGGTCTTGAAGACCCACTTTAGTCCTATTTCCTTGCATCCCACGGGAAGTTCAACAAGTGACCAAGTTTGATTCTTCTTTATAGATTCAATCTCATCTTCGCAAGCTTCTCTCCATACTTTCTCAGCTTTTGCTTCCTTCCAATCCCATGGTTCCTCATTGACTAGAAGAACAAAACGCTCGAGATCCTCCAACATCAAAATGTAATCATCTAAGTAGCTAGGCTGTTTTGTTTCTCTTGATGATCTTCTTAGCATTGGTTGTTCCACCGTTTCTGATTCATCTTCTTCCTTGTCACTCTGCGTTTCTTCTTTACCAACGTTGTCATCTCCAACGTTTTCTTCATCTTCACTACTCTTGTGTTCATTATCAAAGCTCGGAAACGTAATCACATTCTGCTCACTGATCACTTATGTTCCTTCGGCTCTCCATTCCCAACTTTTATTTTCATCAAAGACTACGTCCCTACTAACAACCACTTTTCGAACCTTTGGATCATATAAACGATACGCTTTTGTTCCTGGTTCTACTCCGAGATGTACCAACATTCTACTTCTATCATCAAGTTTCCTTAAATGTGGCGCTTCTAGCTTTGCGTAGCCAGTGCATCCGAAAACTCGTAGGTGTTGAACGTTTGGTTTCTTTCCTTTAAAGCTTTCATATGGTGTTTGCATCTTCAAGGTTCTTGTTGCCACTCGATTAATCAAATAAGTAGAGTGCCTAACTGCTTCTCCCCACAAAATTTTTTGTACCTTCATGTGTTTCATAATGCTCCTAGTCATCTCCATCAGCGTTCTGTTGCGTCTTTCCACGACACCGTTCTGTTGCGGTGAGTATGGTGCAGTTAGGTGCCGTTGTATTCCTGCGTTATCACAGAAACTCTGAAATTCCTGAGAGGTGAACTCACCACCTCTATCAGTTCGAAACGTTTTGATCGCTGCTCCAGTCTCCTTCTCAACAATACTCTTGAACTTCTTGAATTTATCAAATGCTTCGCTTTTTTCCTTCAATAAGATGCTCCACATGTATCTGGAATGATCATCAATCAAAACAAACACATATTTGTTTCTTGCTGCAGTTGATGGTGATATGGGTCCACAAAGATCTCCGTGAACCAACTCTAGAATGACTGAAGCACGGTAATTTGTTCCTTTGGGAAAAACTTGCCGAGTTTGTTTTCCTAAAAGACAGGAAGAGCAAGTCTCTCTCTCGATAGATATACTTGGTATACCTGTGACGATGTTCTTGTTTATCATGCTCTTCATAGTGTCTACTCCAATGTGCCCAAGCCTCGCGTGCCATATAATCAAATCATCAGTCTTCTTTAGCTGCAGACAACGGTTGTTCTCAACATCCATAGTTACCTTGTAAAGACGGTTTCTTGACCTTACTGACTTCACTAACAAGTTACCATCCCTGTCGTATAGTGCCAAGAAATCATCCTTCATTCTAACATCGCAGCCAGACTCTGTTGCCTGACCAAGGCTGATAATATTACTCCTTAGGTCGGGTATGAAGTAGACGTCAGCTAGTATCTTCCTCTTGCCATTCTTGCTCATAAAAAGAATTGATCCTTTTCCTTTTATATCTATTCGAGAATCGTCTCCGAATCTTACCTTTCCTATGACTTTCTCATCAAGGTTAGAGAAGTATCCACGGTTCCCAGTCATGTGGTTACTTGCTCCGTTATCTAAGTACCACACGTTGTCTTTATCGGAGTGTGACTCGAACTTACTTGGCATGACTTTCTCTTCATTCAGATATACTATCTCCTGCATCTTAACTCCTCAGCTTCATGTGTACTATCGTTTTCATTCTCATGTGTCTCTTGGAGCTTTAATAAACGATCAGGGCAGTTAAATGCATAGTGCCCGGTCTTATCACAACGGAAACAAACCACATGTGATGTATCTCTCCCTTGTTTCCAATCATTGCCTTGTTTCCAATCACCACGACCGCCAAAGCGTCCTCGTCCTCTTCCTCTGTTATTAAACCGTCCTCTACCTCTGCCATAACCTCCTTCTTGATGATCCTGAGATTCCTTATTAGCATACATAAGTTTTTCCTGGTCTTCTTGTTGATCATCATCTTGAGTCCTCTC